CTCCTCTCGTTTGTATAGTTCTTATGTTCTTATGTTCCTAAGAGTTGCATTCTACGGTTAGCTCCTTACAGACTGCTAATGCACAGCCTTCCAAACGTTTGGATGACCTCGAGCAGTCTACCACGGCGTGGAGCTCTACAGTCATCACTTTGGAAACTACAGTGAAAAAACTGCAGTCAGATGTGTGTAGCCTGACAATCAAATGCATGGACTTGGAAACCCGTAGCCGGCGTTAGAATATTCGGCTTGTTGGAATAGAGGAGGGCCAAGAGGGGGCCAACCTGCGGCTGGTGACTGTAACTGTGTAATTAACCCAGTATTGGATAGATCCTCCAATCCCCCAATTTGTGCTTCAAAAACAGCTGAATGCATACAGACTTTTTACAGTCTTGCAAGGTGTCTGACCCATGGAGACTTCTTTATCCTACAAAGTGGGAATACTCTTTTTTCTCACCTGTTCACCATACTTATTCACATAAAGATTATTTCTTTATACATACATCTCTACTCCTATTGGTAAAAGAATGTGTTTATAACAGTATAGTAATATCAGATCATGCACATGTAACACTGGTCCTGACCTTCCCCTATCATAGACCTAGCAGATTCAGATGGAGACTCAATTCACTTCTTTTATCAGACGAATCATTTATTGCCTTCGTAAATGCTGGTATAGATATGTTTTTAGAAACTAATGTAAATGAAGAGACCTCCCCTTCCTTACTTTGGGAGACGCTCAAGGCTTACCTGAGGGGCCAAATTATCTCCTACAATGCATCTGTTCATAAAACACAGGTACCTAGGCAAACATAACTTTTGGAATTCATCTCTAGAGTAGACAAAGCCTATGCCACTGGTCCATCTCCAGAGCTATATAAACGGCGCATGATGTATCAGGCTGACTTTGATCTGCTCTTGACTGGACAGGCAGAACGGGCTCTGTTAAAAACCAGACATATGTCTTATGAGTATGGGGAGAAACCAAGCAGGGCTCTGGCTTATAGTTTAAAACAGACATTTAGTACTCAAGTAATTGCCCAGATTGATTCTGACACAGGACTATTATCAGATCCCTTAGATATTAATAAGCAGTTTAGTGATTTCTATTTTAATTTGTATACATCTGAACACCCTTCTGAGTCTAATAGATAGGTTATTTGAAGACCTGAATATACCCACCGTGGAAGAGAATGTAAGAGAATCCTATTTCCTTACATGAAATTCATAAAGCTATCACATGCATGCAGAGTGGGAAATGTCCAGGCCCGGACGGCTTTCCTACAGAATTTTATAAAAAGTTTGCAGCAAAATTAAACCCTTTACTCAAGGATGTATTTGATGACAGCTTAAAGTCCCAATGCCTGCCTCCAACTCTACGTCAGGCATCAATATCCTTACTTCTGAAGAAGGGCAAGGATCCCCTCGCTTGCTCCTCCTACCGTCCAATTAGTCTCCTTAATGTTGATGTTAAGATACTGTCTAAGGTGTTGGCTCTCCGTCTTGAATCTGTATTACCCTCCATTGTGTGATCTGATCAAACTGGTTTCATCAAAAATAGACAGTTGTTTTTTAATATTAGGCATGCATTTAATATCCTTTACACATCATCTTCGTCTGAGTGCCCAGAGGTACTCCTATCTTTGGATGCTGAGAAAGCCTTTGATCGTGTTGAATGGAGCTATTTGTTTTATGTTCTGAAACGGTTTGGCTTTGGGGATATTTTTATTTCTTGGGTGAAATTGCTGTACTCCTCGCCTTTGGCTTCAGTTAGAACCAATGACACTTATTCACCATACTTTCCTCTTCAGCGTGGGACTAGACAAGGTTGTCCCCTTTCTCCATTGCTTTGTGCACTTATAATGGAACCTCTTGCAGCCACTATCAGGCACCATAATGATATTAAGGGGATTTTAAGATCAATCCACTTTTTCAGATACCTTCAAGTTAGACATTTCATACAGAATAATGTCAGTCATTTTCCTTCACTACCTCAGACATCATTTCTTGATTCAATCATAGAAACTCAGCCAGAGGTTAGGAGAACTGTCTCAAAGCTGTACGCAAATATATTTGACGTGGAAGGTTCTTCATTGGCAATAATCAAAGAAAATTGGGAGAAGGATAGGGGTACAACTATTAATGATGATCAATGGTCTAACATACTTCAAAGAATCCACTCCTCCTCTATTTGTGCGAGGCACTGCCTCATTCAGTTTAAGGTTGTACATAGACTTCACATGTCTAGGGTTAAGTTATCCAAGATTTACCCGGGGGTTAATCCTATTTGTGACAGATGTAGACAAGCACCTGCTACTCTCTTTCACACTTTTTGGTCATGTCCAAGTATGACTGCATTCTGGTCTTCAATATTTGAGGTGTATTCTGCGATTTCTGGGGTAACCTTTGACCTCTGTCTATGGAGCCAGAATAGTGCCATATGTACTTGTATGTGTACTTTCCAATTTGCACCCGTAAAAAGAAATTTGCTCGCACTGAACACAATTTTCATTCACAAAAAAAAATATTTTGCAAATACAAGTCAATATTTTTTGTAAATGCGAAACCAAACATCTTCATAAAAATATTTTTTTACAAAGATAGAATGATTTTCAAGTACAAAACCTGTACTGCAAATCCAAGTCCTCTTGCAAATACCAACCTGCGAGTGCAAATTCACACTTGCGCATATAAATAATTTTGGCACTAACTTGCCTAGCGCTTTGCAGATAAAGATTTGCTCGCATAGCCACCAATCAAATTAATTCATATTCTAGCCAATCATAAAGCTGCAGGTAAGGTAACAACCAATCCTGGCCTTCCAGTAAAAAAACATGCTGAAGAAGATGAAGGTGTTAGACCAGGACTTTATATGGGAAGATGACCATGTTTGAATCTACAATGTTCTGGTTGTCATCGTCTGAATAGACAATTGAAACAATCACATCACAAAGCATACGCATTATACACACACACATCTGACTGTGACATACAGTTATGTGCAAAATAATAGCAGTCTAACATTACTTATGTGTTTAAGTACTGATTTTGGCAGAAATTATGATACAACATGGGAACAAATTCATGACTAGGTATAGCAGAGTAATGGCCAACCAACAGACTTAACAGACATGACATGCATGCTGCTAATTGAGGGTAATTGACTCATTTAATGAAAGGGATGTGTTCAAATTAATAGCAGTGCAGAGATCAGTTGGGGAGATCATTCAATCTGTGAAGAAATGGGTGTCAATTATGGCCCTTATTTAAGGAAGGAAGGCGACAGATGTTGTACCTGCTGGTTTTAGCCCTTGCTCAGAGAGTAAAATGGGTCGTTCCAGACATTGCACTGAGGGAGAAAGAACTTTGATCAAAAAGTTGATTGGAGAGGGGAAAAGAAGTGCAGAAAATAATTGGCTGCTAAGCTAAAAAGATCTCAAATGCTTTGAAATGGGAAAGAAAATATAAAAAGGAATACTACCATCCGCGTAGATCATAGAATAACAAGAATGGCAAAAAAGCATCCAATGATCAGCTCCAGAGAGATCAAAGAAGATCTCCATTTACCTGTGAGTACTTCAACAATCAGAAGACGCCTATGTGAAGCCAAACTATTTGCAAGAAACCCTCGTAAAGTACCACTGCTGAAAAAAATACATGTATTGAAAAGGTTACAGTTTGCCAAAGAACACCTTGACTGGCCTAAAGAGAAGTGGCGCAATATTCTATGGACAGCTGAGAGCAAGATTGTGCTTATTGGGTCTAAAGGCCGCAGACAGTTTGTAAGACGACCCCCAAATACTGAATACAAGCCACAGTACACTGTGAAGACCGTAAAACATGGCGGTGCAAGCATAATGGTTTGGGGATGTTTCTCATACTTTGGAGTGGGGCCCATTTATCGCATAACAGGCACCATGGACCAGTTTCAGTACCTAAAAATACTGGAAGAGGTCATGTTGCTTTATGCTGAGGAAGAAATGCCCTTAAAATGGGTGTTTCAGCAGGACAACGACCCCAAACACACCAGCAAGCGGGCAACATCCTGGTTGAAGACCAAAAAGATTGATGTCATGAAGTGGCCAGTCCAATCCCCGGACCTCAATCCGACTGAGAATTTGTGGAGTGACCTCAAAAATTCTGTTTTTGGTGCAAAACCCAAGAATGCAGAAGATCTGTGGAATGAAGTCCAGTCAGCTTGGGCTGCAATTTCTGTTTGCAGGTGTCAAATGTTAGTTGACTCCATGCCACACAGATGTAAAGCAGTGATCAGAAATAATGGTTATACAACTAAATATTAGTTCAGTGCTTAAAGGAAAAGCTAAAGCTCGTCATTTCATTTTCAGTTTATACTGTAAATATTCCAGTTTGTAAATGAAAATGCAGACACTGCAATTTTTTTGAACAACCTAATATTCTTTTTCTTCATTTTCAGTAAAAAACAAAAAAAAGAGAAGAACAAATTGTTCATGTTTTCGTTTGGAATTGAATGTGCACGGCTCCTAGTGCCTTTGTATATATGGAAATAAATGCTATTAGGACCATGGAACTTTTCCTCTGTTGTTTTAAACACACTACTATTATTTTGCACATAACTGTATATACACATACATCTCACAAGAACATTTATGTCAATTCACATTCACATAAATTTAAGAAAATAACTGCGACATCCCTACAATACTAAATGTGCTCCTCCTGCCAAGGAATGTGGCCTGCAGGAGAGAGAAAATAATCACTCAGGATGTCACGTTGAGATTGTGCAGTGACTGTTGGGTCGTGGTCTTTTCCGTGCCTCACTGGCTGTAAAATCCCAATCCCTTGACTCCTCCAGGATCCATCAAATATTTTGTGGTCAGCGTTCTCCCAATCTGCAAAGCCTGGAGGTATATATGCCTCAGACTTGCGTTCACAGAGAAAATTATGGATGCAGAGGGAGGCCATAGTTAGCTTAACCACCTTCTCTGGCTCCAAGCACAGGCTGCACCTGAAAACCCTCAACCTGTTCGCAAGAATGCCAAATGCATTTTCTACAACCCTGTGTGCTCTAGAGAGACGATAGTTTAGCACCCTATGACTGTGATCCATCTTCCTGATTGGATATGGCTTCATGAGGTCATTCCTTAAAGGATACGCATCATCGGCCACAAACATGTACGGCATCATTATGTCAGAGTTGGGCAATGGTTCAGGCAGAGGAAAGTTCAGCAGGCTCTGGTCCATTGCTTTGCACAGGTCAGAGTGAGTGAAAACCCCAGAGTCTGAGACGCTACCTTGTGTACCCACACTTGCGTAGATGAATCTGTAGTTCGCATCCACAGCAGCCGTTATTACCACAGAGGACCTGCCCTTGTAATCATGGTGAAGGCTGCCACTTTTTACTGGAAATTGTATATTGATGCATTTTCCATCAAGCGCACCAAGGCAATGTGGAAACTGCCACTTGACTTCGAAGTCCTGGGCTATTGTCCGCCACTCTGCCTCCGTTGATGGTGTCTAACAATAGAAGAAAGTACAGTTCAGGCTAGGAGTTACACTATATTTGGTACGGTGATTCTTATATTTACCAAAGTCATACATTTCTTAAGACTGAGACTCTTACAATGTAATTTTAAAAAAAAACATTAATAAGAGCAATACCCTGTCAGAAATACAAATAGCTTCGTAGGATGTGTGATGGTATCCAGAACCGTTTTAACATTTAATCGGATGACACTCCTATGTTTAAGCACAATTGCAGATGCAAAAATGGAATTGTGGATATCAGACTGAAAGCCCATGCATACATGTGAATGTCAAAAGTAATTTTTCCTAGGCAGAATGTCAGATATCTGAAATGTTGATTTTGACTAGGAACAGTCACATTATAGATGTCTGCAATATACATCCAGCCCAGTTATTAAATGTTAAAATGGCTTTCCATAAGAACCTACCTTCAGGAAGTCATTTTTCATGACCTGGTACACAGCAGCACAGGTCTCCATGACAATCTGCGAAAGAGTGCTGGTCCCAATCCTGTACTGGAACCCGAGTGACCTGAATGATTCACCTACATAAGACACAAAATGAAAAATATTCAGGAACAGACATTTAAAATGAACAATAGGCAAATCAGTGTGACATTACTTTGATATGGCTTTGGCAGACCCACCTGTTACCAAGAACCTCAGGGTCAAAGCCAAACGCTCTCTCGGGGATATAGCCAGTCTCAGTTTGGTGTCCTGTTTGGTAATGAGGTGTTCGACCATCCCCAGCATGAAATCAAACTCCTCTGCTGTCATACACAGCAACTCCCTGAACCCAGTCTTATCATGCATCTATTTGTAACGGGGGGAATACAAAGTTTCTATTAGAATCCACTGACATATGCAGAAGCTTTTCAGTATTTGTCACCATGTCCGTGCCACACAACAATAGCAGACGGCAATATGAGCTTTCATAGCGAAAATATATTTACCTCCAACTCTCTCTGCAGAACAGACACTCCCTGCTGCCTGCTTATCTCAAGCCACTGTCTCACCCATGTTCTTCTCTTTCTCTTCCTTGGTTTTTCATTGCAATCGAGTGCACAAAGTACTTGGATTGCCCGTCTGTTTTGGGCATCCATTTTGGGAGAAGAAAAAATCCCACTCGATGCATGGGATTGCGTCATTTCCGCGTGCCACTTCTCGCGTGTGTTTTCGTCACAAAACGTAGTTTGGAGACTCGCTGGTTGGGACTCTGTTGGTAGTGGAGATGGAATGATCGGTTGGAATGTGCACAGCGCTGGTGGTGTGGATGAGGACGATGATTTACTCCTTTCAGTGTCCTGAGCATCATATATCATATTAATGATGTCCCTTTTTAATTTTGTCAGATTTGCTGGGTCTTGCAGTTGCCTTAATTCACATGCTACATGGTTTCCAAATGTAGTAAATGCATCAGGAACTGGATCAGCATCAAATTTTGCTGCCATTTGCTTTAGAACGAAAAGCTTCTGCTGCTCTACATTAGATTCTGACCTCCTCTTGCGCTTGACTCCCCTTGCACTTGACTCCTCTCGCACCTCCCTGCTGGAAGTTGATGGGACAGGTGAAGGAGCTTCATCAGCTGCTGCTGGGGAAGCTTCTTTATTCAACCATTCAGGGGGGGAGGCAGGACCGGCTGATGGTGTGCCAGGTCTTGACTGCGGACCCTTGACTGAAGATTGTCCGAGTAAATCTGTAAGATTATCCTGATGTTCCGTGTCGTCCAGATCACTGAATGACACATGAAGCTGGAAGAGGTGAAACGTAAATGGCGTCAGCGGACAGCACAAATAATGAATATAAGGATAATTGAAATAATACATGAAAACCTTAGGGAAGGCAAAAAATTAAAACTTCAACAATGAAAATAGGTATGTTTGCAGTCAGTTGTGTATACTTTAAAACATGTTCCTGGATGGTTTGACTTACAGCGCTCTCACAAGGACGGTGAACGATGTAATGCTTTATGAAATCCATGACCCTGAGAAGCCACTTTTGCCTCCATGTCAAAGGTTTGTTCTGATTGTCAATCGGTTTCGGTTTTATCAGCCTTGAGTACTGAGTTCGCAGGGACATTGCCCTGGTCTTAACCTCCTCAACTGAAAGACAAAAAAAGGAGCATGCAAATGCATTATCATTTGTTATGTATTCCAGAATTTGCTTAGTTTGTTGCATTTGTGTATTTCTAAAGGCATCATGTAGTCTAGGTCTCATCATTACAGCAGCAAGCTCCTAGCTACTAGACTCATAAAAAGGTGAAGAGGAAGGCTGGAGAGAGGTGAAGAGAAGGACGTCACCCATGAAACGGTGGTGGGAGGCTCGGATTTGGCACATAACACAACAGCCGATTAAAACTATGTAGAACCATGTTTATTCATTAATTTAATCCACTGAAGCAGCCCGTGCGTGAAACAAAAAAGGAAGTTTCAAAAACAGCAGTGCTAATTACTTTTAAAAAAGTAAAAGTCCTATATGCCATAACACTGTAAGGAATGTGTACAGAAGAAGAGAACGGCCGTGCAAGCAATATTTTTTTATGCCGATAACTCGAGACAGTCGTTTATGGGAAAAAGGAACAATAGGGGGATAAGAGGGCAAATAGACAAAAAGGAGGACACCCTACAAGTGTCCGGAGAGAGGGCTGGAAAACCGGAGGGATCACCCTAGCTCCTCAATTATGTCAATATGCCTATTTTGCTCACCTGGCCGTTGAAGAGAATTGGCTATTTCTGTCCACCTCTTCTCTTTCTCGGTTCGGTTGTGGTACAGGTCGTCGGAAACATCAAAAAGGCATTGGTGCTCCTGCCAAAGTTCAACCAAACTTTCTTCCATTTCTTGGGTCCAAAAAGAGCGCCGGTCTCTTATTGCTGCCATAGTTACAATGTTGTGTAGCGATCTGAAGAATTCATGTAACGTGAACTTTGCATGTGACTCCTCCCCCGGGTTTCCCCTCAACCTCTGCGTCCTGCACTCTCATTGGCTATAGCTCGTTACTGTACTCATTGCCAGTCGCTCTCATTGGCTGTAGCTCGTCGCCGCTCTCTTTGCCATTCGTCCTCATTGGCTGTAGCTCGTCGCCGCACTCATTGTCAGCCGCGATGCTTTTCACACCTAAAAGATTTGTCTTGTTTAGATATTTTAGCATATTAGACATCTGACATAGATATCATGCACATAGATGCCGTCTTGGTTAATGCAGTTTTTTTACTTGACAAAAACAAACGCAACACAATCAATAGAAACCGTAGGCTATATAAACAGGAGTGCTTATATTCTGCCAGGAGTAGAAAATATATATATACATATACTGTCAGAGGTGTTCATCAGAAATAAATTGGCATAGGTCACAAGAACAGATGAAACAGCTTAAACATAGGCAATGTCCGCACTGCTTTCGTATTCTTACATTTCCAAATAACTTAAAGTTAGGTCTATACATCAGTCTTAAAATGAACAAAGTTAGGACTTCACCCAGACCATTTTACTTAATGTATATCATAACGACCTAATACAATAATCAAGTGAATTACAAATGGCAATTCTACATTGCTTCTAATCTACTTCTTTAAAACTAATATCAGAAATGTTGAATAGTTTCAGGGCTGCTTTTGCAAAATTCACAATATTCAAACATATGGATTTTAAATAGATGCATAACAAGGGTTTTTACTGAGTAAATTCTATGAATTATCTTGCATGTAACCTCCTTGGTTTTAGTAGTTATCCAATATTTATTGGGCATCATCCAAATCTTTTTCTAAGCAAACCATTTCCCAAATAAGGAATTCCCATAAACTGTAACTGAAGCGATATAATTAGATTGCCATAAGGATCTAAAAGTTTGCTATTACATCTATAGCTCATAATATTCTCTCCTATCATCAGATAAGTTGTGAACTCACATACAGTTTCTATTGAATTACTACTGAAATATTTCAAGTTAATATTTCCTTAGGTACTGCATGAACTATTGTGAAGTATTGATTAGTGTCAATAAAAAATACCCATTAATAAAGTCAGTATAATTGATCAATTCACCATGGACATTAACTAATTGATTCATCCAAATTACAGCATTATTAACCCAATTTTTTTCAAAATACAGTGTTTTGTTTTTCATTTTTATGTATTTGTTATTCCATATAGTATATCTATGAGGGGAAAAATTATTTTACTTTACTAATAATAATATTTTTTTATACATAAGTGACCATGTAAGGAGTACTTGTGGATGAAGACTAGCAAGTTCCAAGGGGATTTTCCCAACATCAAAATTAATTCATTTGATTATTTGTAGAGATTTCGGCATCCAGGATCGATCCGTTCCGAAGACGTCCGAAACTTCTGGTCTCGATACGGAGTTTACGAAATGTTTCGAAACGTCAGTCACGTGACCGCCGTGTCATTATTCACGCAATTAGAAAATACCTATTTAAAAAAAACCCGGAAAAAATCGGTGCTTGTTGGTTTGAGCGAGTAGTTTGGCGATTATTATTTGAAATCCAATTGTATTAGTGAAACAGGTTAGCAGTTAGTGTGATTTAGGCATAAGTATAGCGAGGGACATATTGTAAGTGTAATATCAAGGTTTTGCTTAGATTCAGTTAGAAACGAATCAAAAAGCTAGAGTACGCATAGACACATAGATTACATATACAGTGGTACCTCAGAACTCGAATTTAATCCATTCAGAACTCCGGATCGAATCCTAAAAAGTTCTTGTTCTGATCGAATTTTTCCCATAAGAAATAATGGAAAACCAATTAATTTGTTCCTGGCCCTAAAAAAATTACACCGAAATGTTTTTTTTTTAGCATTTAAACACAAAATGAACCGGATAAAACAAGAAGAGCATATACTGTACTAAACACATCTAAGCACATTTATCAAAACAGTAATTTGTAAAGTAAGAAAATAAATGTATCCAAACAATGTGTCCTGCCCCGATCGTCCGCTCCTTCCGTGTGCCACGTCCCCTCGTTAACCCTGTGTGGAATCTCCGTGTGATCAGCTGTTTCTGGTTGTTTTCATTAGTCCTCTGTATTTAGTCCACGTTTCAGTTTGTTTTCCTAGTCTAGTCATTGTATTGTCCGTCTGCGTTTTGCCTGCCTTACCTGTAATTAAACCGCCTTTGTCTCCCTTCCGTCCCCGCTTGGCACAACAATATTATTATAATTAAACGTATTAATGGTTTATTATTTATATTAAAATAATGAATAAGAAATCTTTTAAATGTATTTTATTATATAATAATAATTACTGTTACTGTCTATCATTGTCTAAATGTATTTTTACTGTCTAAATATATGTATTCAGCTAGTGTAAACATGCACGATGCTATCACAGCAAATGCGAGGCTGAGACTGAAGCATTACCCTTTGTTTCCGCTGAGAGACGTGCTGCGTGACTCATTTCCCTCAGTTATCTTAGGTCTGCGTTCACGGTTTGACTTCTGAGATACAGATCGAGCTCTAGGTAATTTTTTTTCACACTGGTTGGTTCGACTTTTAAGAAATTCGAGTTCTAATGAGTTCGAGAACTGAGGTACCACTGTACATATATTAACATTGCTAACACAGACAAAGACTAGCTGTTGTCTGAAACTGCGTTTTTGCACTGTTCTATTCTATACAAATTAATTAAAACTAAACCATTCCTATAACCTGCTCAATATACACAAACCTAGATAGGATGAGTATTCTAACCTCAGTAGCTAATTAATTACTAGGCACACTCAATACTCGGATGGTATGTAAACAGTGGCGGAACAACTGCACACAAGGCCCCGGAGCAAAACACCGATCGGGCCCCCCCTCCCCTCCTACTCCCACGCACGCAAACACCCACGCACACATACGTAGATGGGGCGGCACTGGATGTCTCGAGACCACTTTTACGTGGTCTTGTCACAGTCTCGACGGTCTATGGTCTTGGTCTTGTCTTGGATCCCTTGGTCTTGTCTTGGTCTCGCTGTCTTGGTCTTGCTGTCTCGGGATCGACATAGTGGTCGGGAGATTTGGAGCAAAAAGTATCCATGACACACAACGTAATGTTCGATAATGCAACATTATTTTTATTTCGCCTTTTGTGCCCTTCAAATGCAACCAATCAATGACATACATGCATTTTGTTGTGATTCAGACATTGGCGCTCATCCAATCAAAATACGCGTTATACGCACAAAATAAATGTAGCGCTAGTTAAACGTTAGTTAAATGTGTAATCACATGCCACTGCAGACATCAAGATGTCAGAATCTTTTAAGCACTTGTCCTTAGTCTTATTGATGCACAATGTTATGTGCAATTTGTATTGGTATATAGTATTTCAACCCGATCTCACGAATTTTCGTGCAGCCATCACGACATAAAATCTATTTAAACGTGCTGTGATCACGTTTTCCATAACGTGTGACGCGACCTTGCAAAACAGCGCTTGGATTTTACTTCTGTTGCATGAATGAGTTAGTGTATGGAGGGAAATCCCGGACATTATTCAAAAGGAATTATTAACAGAAGTAAAATCCAAGCGCTGTTTTGCAAGGTCGCGTCACACGTTATGGAAAGCGTTATCAGATCACAAAAAACAAAATATGATTCTGGCCATGCATGACTTTCCCGTCCCTTAGTCACCAGTTAGCGCTCATAGTGGCGGTGTTAGGCACTGCCCATTAAAACAAATAGGGAGGGGAAACGTTACCCCAGCACGTAAAAAAAGCCGACAACGTAATCACAGCACGTTTAAATAGATTTTATGTCGTGATGGCTGCACGAAAATTCGTGAGATCGGGTTGAGTATTTGTAGTTTGTATTTGATTCATGTGTGCATGTCTTAATATTGTTTGATTACAGTATTTTACTTAAAATGGTGTTGTTTGACTAAATAAATGTGACCATTGACTTTTAAATAAGAGCTGCATATCACGTTGTGTTGACTTAACAGGCCTAATCCATTTCAGGGAAGTTGATATCATACAGTCTCATTTGGCTAGTACTACTACAATTGGACATGATGCAATTTCAAGTTTATAATTGAAATTTTGATGTTACAATTTCATCTACAAATTAAGTATAATTGAAATCGGTTACATATTTCCCATTCTTTAGACAGTTGTTGGAGGTGTTACCAGTTTTTTCAGATGACTTTGGGACCAGTCAGTACCCGTCATGTCAGTCCTCAACAGCACACAAAAGTTAAGGGAGTCTTTTTTTCCGGTCTCGTTTCAACTCGTTTCAACAAAAGTCTTGGTCTTGTCTTGGTCTCGATACCCTCTGGTCTTGGTAGTGTCTTGGTCTTGGTTTAGGCGGTCTTGACTACAAGTCTACCCGATACCCTGACGTCTGCACCTTTGTCTCCGTTCCGTCCCTGCTCTGCAGGACAATATTATTATAATTAAATGTATTAATGGTTTATTATTAATGATATTAAAATAATTAATAAGAAATCTTTATTTTAAAATGTATTTTATTATATAATAATAATTATTGTTACTGTCTATCATTGTCTAAATGTATTTTTACTGTCTAAATAAATGTACTCAGCTAGTATAAACATGCACGATGCTATCACAGCGAATGCGAGGCTGAGACTGAATTGTTACCCTTTGTTTCCGCGGAGAGACATGCAGCGTGACTCATTTCCTCGCTCATAAAAGTTCGGTCGGCGTTCACGGTTTGACTGTAGTTGGAACACACCCTCTGGTCCCCCTTCTAAAATAAGGGGACCACCACCCCGGTCTGCCAATCCAGCGGCACTGTCCCTGACCTCCACTCGCTGTTGAGAAGGCGTGTCAGCCATGACAGCCCCACAACATCCAGAGCCTTTAGGTACTCTGGGTAGATCTCGTCCACCCCCGGGGCCCAGCCACCACGTAGCTCTTTAACCACCCTGGCCACCTCAGCCCCAGTGATGGGCAAGCCCCCCCCAGCACCCTTGGGCTCTGTGCCCTCAGATGTCTCAAAGGCAGTGTGCGTAGATGGATCTGAGAAAGGGTTGAGGAGGTCCTCAATGTATTCCTTCCACCTCCGGGTGATGTCCCCAGGTGAGGTCAACAGCACCCCCTCCCCACTATAAATAGTAAGAACCAGGAGCTGCTTCCCCTTCCTGATACTCCGTATGGTTTGCCAGAACGTTTTTGAGGCCGACCGAAAGTCACTTTCCATGGCCTCACCGAACTCCTCCCATGTCCGGGTTTTTGCTTCTGCGACTGCCCGAGCCGCGTTCCGCCTGGCCTGCCGGTACCCGCCAGCTGCCTCCGGAGACCCCCGGGCTAATAATTCCCGGTAGGCCTCCTTCTTCAGCTTGACAGCCCCTCTCACCTTTGGTGTTCACCATTGGGTACGAGGGTTACTGCCATGACTGGCAGCGACCACCCTGCAGCCACAGCTCCATACGGCCGCTTCCACAATGGAGGTCCGGAACAGTGTCCATTCAGACTCAATGTCCCCAACCTCTCTCCGTATGTAGTTGTAATTCTGCCGAAGGTGCGAGTTAAAGCTCCGGCGAACAGGAGCCTCTGCCAGACATTCCCAGCAGACCCTCACTATGCGCTTGAGCCTACCAGGTCTGACCGGCTTCCTCCCCCGCCACCTGAGCCAACTCACCACCAGGTGGTGATCAGTTAACAGCTCTACCCCTCTCTTTACCCGAGTGTCCAAGACAGAAGGCCGCAGATCAGATGATACGATTGTGAAATCGATCATTGACCTGTAGCCCCATTGCATGGTGTTCGTTATGGAGGAACCATGTATTGCACAAAAGTCCCATAACAGAACACAGGCTTCTTGCAGGTTTCAGTAAGTTAAATTTAAGACCTTTTTAAGACCTTTTAAGACCATTATGAGTAAAATTTAAGACCAACACGATGCATTACTAGAAACATTCGAATGATACCAGAAATTCTCATATTTTATCTCACTCATATCCTTAACCCAACATCCACATATCATGTGTTTACAAAGTGCGTTTTAATAAGTTCACATGTGTTTAAAGCATGTGGGAGTGGTATTTTAAGGCTTAAACTATAAAAAAAGTTTATGTATACAGTCTTTCTATATCGCGTATTTTCACCTATCGCTGTTGGGTCTGGAACATAACTTCCACGATAGGCGGGGGATCCAGACCCATCAGCCATAGGTGAAAATCCGCGATATAGAAAGACCATATACATAAACTTTTTTTTAGTTTAAGCCTTAAAATATATAGTGATCCCCCACCTATCGCGAAAGTTACGTTCCATGGGGGAGTTTAGTTTTAACATGGGGAATCCACACGGGGTTAAAGAGGGGGCGTGGCACACGGGAGGAGCGGACGAGCGGCGCAGGACATACTGCACTTTTAATCAGATTTTTTAGATTTTCTAAGCAATTTTTGTTCAAATAAGGTTTTTTTTCATCTCTATTTTGCTTTTTTTTGTCTTGGTTTAACTTTTTAAAATCTTGTTTTTATAAAGCACATTAAATAACCCCTGTGTATGATAATAAAAACTTGCCTTGTCTTACCATAAGGAGACGGAGAAATGTTCTCCTCAAGACCACACAAACAGCTAAAAACTATATGCTGGAAACTAAGACATTCACAAGGTAACTCCAGGATAAGCTCTGTAAAAGTAGAAATGTGTTTATTTTATAAGATAGCATGAACTAACTGGCTAGTAGTTGCCTTTTAACTGAAAAAATTCACTCCAGTCATCAGAGAAAAAAATTACTAACGCACTACATCAAAACATTTATATTGCAATAATTTATGGCATGAAATAAACTTGTAACTATATCATTCAGTAATACAAATAATAAAACAACATACCGTTCACATTGGCCTCAAGAACTAAGTTAGCGCTTGATTCCCCTGCACTTCCTGTTGTGGCTGAGCGTGCACCTGACGTCAGTGGCTGAAAGTGCACGTTCTGCAGCCAGACCCTTCTCAAACTGTCTGTTTGCCTAGCTGCAGTGATCACGCAATGGGAGTTGTAGTTTGTACAGTACCACGCAGACACCGGTGCAGACCAGAAAACACAACCAACGGATTATCGTTTTACTATTTTATTTTCAGCGGCCAACGCTTTTTGGGAATGAACGGAGGTAAGACTTGGGTAAATTCAATTTAAGACCTAGGATGAAAATCTGGGCATTTTTAAGGCATTTTAAGGCCTTAAATTTAACTTTCTGAATTTTAGACTTTTTAAGACCCCGCGGGAACCCTGAGAACAGCACTCGGGTTCAGATCAGGGAGGCCGTTCCTCCCAATCACCCCCCTCCAGGTCACACTGTCATTGCCCACATGAGCGTTGAAGTCCCCTCGTGGCGCGCTAACCAGCATACCACTAAGGGAATCCAAGAAGGCCGGGTACTCTGAACCGTCATTCGGCACATAAGCGCAGATGACAGTCAGAGACCTATCCCCGACCCGAAGGTGCAGGGAAACAGCCCTCTCATTCACCGGGGTACACTACGTTGTTAATGCACCAAGCTGTGGTGCCACCAGTAGCCCCACCCCAGCCCGGCATCACTCACCTGCCGCAACACCAGAAGAAAAAAGCGTCCAGCCCCTCTCTAGGAGATTGGTTCTAGAACCCACACTATGCATTGAGGTGAGCCCGACTATATCTAGTCGATATCTTTCAACCTCACGCACAAGCTCAGGCTCCTTCCCCACCAATGAGGTGACATTCCAGCCGGGGATTTTTTGTCAGCCGGGGATCAGACCGCCAGGGCCTCCCTTGGCCGCCACCCGATCCACAATGCACCGAACCCCTGACATTCCCCTTGTGGGTGGTGGGCCCATCTGGGGACAGACCCGTGTGCCTCTTTCGGGCTATGCCCGGCCGGGCCCCATGGGCCAAGGCCCGGCCACCAGGCGCTCACCAACGGGCCCCTCCCCCAGGCCTGGCTCCAGGGTGGGGCCCCAGTGACCCTAGTCCAGGCGAGGGAAACAAGACCTTGCTGGGATACATTATCATAGGGTCTGGCCCCTCCCCTGGGACCGTTTTGCCTTGGGAGACCCTACCAGGGGCTATTGCCCCCGACAACATAGCCCCCAGGGTCACGGAGGCACGCAAACCCCTCCACCACGATAAGGTGGCAATCCAAGGAGGAGAATCATAAAACAATTTAACATTTCATTAAACAATTCAAAAATTAATTAAAATTCGTACGTAAAGCAATCTGGGAAACAAAGGGGTGTGCAACAATCGCTTTGAGCCCAAAATGTTAAACCACCATGTCATTACAGTTGAAAGGACCTATTATATTAGCTAATAACACGATTTTGCACGAAATGGTTTGAAGCGCAAAAAAAAAAAAAATCGGCGTGCATCGTTGTCTGTGTACTGGACATCACAATTCTGTCATTAAAAACCCACCTTACTTCCGTTAAAAGTTATTAAAGCCAGAAAATTGAATCGAATATGAGACTAACTTAACCGTGGTGACGTTTCCCACAGGAAACACAAAAGCGAGCCAGTTGGCTGTAATAATTCCCATAAAAACGGAGAGAACATCACGTCTCACGCTCCGTTTACTTCACCCGACGAAACTGTTTGACTGACACGACACAAATTTCCTCTGTATCGTACCTACCCTTTCCGTGTGATTCTCCGCTTGTAACTTTTTGTCAGTGATTGGTAAAAGTGTTTCGCGTGTTGTAAATTTCTTTTCACTTTTGTAAATTGGTTTTGGGACAGGCAAAAGTGTTTTGCAAATTGTAAATTAGTTTTTATTTTTGCAATATTGTTTAATGAAATGTTAATTTGTTTTATAATACGATAATTTGTTTTATGAAATGTTAGTTTGTTTTAAGCATTGTTAATTTGATTTGCCCTTCTCGGCCACCGTAGGGTATTATGCACATTTTTGACAGTTCAAGCTTCGTGACATTCGAAACTTGAAGCAATAGGTTTTTATTCTGCCGTATTTGCTATAGCTGCAGTTCCAGTTTTTGCCAGCAGGCTGTTCACAACTAGTGTTTCGAAACTTTTCGAACCGTTTCGAAACATTGTTTGTTTCGAATGTTTCGAAATTGTTTTGATGATTCGAAATTGCCATCTCTAATTATTTGTATTTTTTAAATAATCCTGTGTCCACTATTTTAAATACAACGTTAGATGTTCAGTAATCTAAAACGTTTAAGCCCCCTTCTTCCTGTGGACGGCAAATAATGTCTTTTATGATAATGATATGAGTTTATTTTTCCCAGATGGAAAAAGTTTCGAGTCAATTTTCCTTATAAGTGAAGGTGGTACATCCAAAACTAATGCGGCATAAACGAATTAAAATATACCCTCAGATTTAAATAAAAGTATTTGGCCATTTAAGGAAAAATCTCAACCTCCACGTGTCAAAATTTTTTCTGAAACATTCTTTTAATAGGAGAAAAATTAAGGTCAATTCTAATTTTTGGCATTTTGGTAATCTTAATACCAAAATAATTAGCTAAGTCCCTTAGAGGAATATTGCAAATGGATGCAAGTTCACATCTTTTAATATTTAAAGACAGACCAGATACAGAGGGAAAACCTGTAAGCACGGAATTGCCCTGAACTCCTGTATGATCCCATAAAAAAGTGTTGAGTCAGTCAACTGGGAACATTTCATTTCTTTAAAAATTCTGTATTTGAATACCCTGAAAAACAGCCATAGTAGCCATAATTTGTGTAACAAGCAAAAAATGGATGGATCTTGTTGAATTCCCCTACAAATTTCAAATCTACATGAGGTCCCACAAGTCAGTTTAACAGAACTGTTACCTTTGTCATATTATGCTCTAATTATGTTTTGAAAATATACACCAAAGCCAGAGGTTGAGACTTTCAAAAATAAAGGGATGTTCAATTGTATCAAAGGCTTTATAAAAGTCAACAAATAAAATAAAATCATCTTCATTAATACATTTGCTGTAATCTATAAGATATAAAATCAGCTTAACATTGGTACATACGTCTTCTTTCCATAAAGCCTGATTTATCCATAATCGAATCAAGGTTTGTTTTCAATCTCAGTACAAAAATGGGCGCAGTCTTTCCATTATTATTAATTAAAGTAATCAGACACCTGTCACAACACCCAATGCAGGCTGAGAGCTAGTGCAGCCCCTCACAGGGGAGTTTATTTGTGGAAAGCAGGCAGGACAGCTCCTGTAGACAGAGAACAATGACTGAACAAGGATCAAAGGGCCACAGAGATGCTAATATACATGATTAATTAACAGAGGCGTAAACACAAGGTAGCTATGGCTAGTTAACAGGAGGGCAGGAACAAGAGGTAAGACTAACAAGCTTCAGGTGCGGCTATTTAGAAGCCACACCCAAGTGAAACACAGGGAGCAGACAAGCATGTGACAAACCCACTGATCTATTAAAAGGAATCTTTGTCTGGTTTTGTAATTACGGTTATT